CAGGATTTTCAATAACTCTTCCTATTTGCCCCGAAAAATCCATTGCTACTAGTGAGTTTTCAGATACACTTCTCTGAAAAGGAATTTTCACTTGTTTCAAAAAACAGGGAAAGAAAAAACCAGCTTGAGAGTTTCATTTCAAAATGTGTTGGTTTCAGAAGACTGTCCAAAGTTATCCTTCAACAGCACAGAAAACACATCTCATTTTTTTTTCCCCTTCCAAAAGATTTGCAGACACAAAAATAGACGGCTTTTCTTTTTAGGCCGTAGGGGAGGGAGAGGATTCAAAGGCTGAGAACAAAATCTGTATTGCTGAAGTTGCCCACTTGCCCTATTACTATACCCCAGCCATTTCCAGGGCCATTTGGGATCCAAATATAGGATCTTCACTTTTAGATAGCTAACAGTCAGCTCTTGGCCCAACATATTTTAAGAGATTTACGTCTTAGTTTTGCCAGACCTAAGCTGGCTTCTGCAGAGACAGCCAGATGTCTCTGTACTGTACATCTCAAAGTGCCTGACGTATCCAAGATTTTTTCAGTCATGTGGATCATGTAAGCCTAAGATAATGGAGAGCCAACCACGTAAACTGTACTCGAGTGAAACGTGAACTTTATATCGATTTGCTACACAATGCTGAATTTACATTCCTTAGCATAAAATTTTCCACTTTTAAAATGCAAAAGCAAATGTATCTTTTCCAACATCATACATTAACGAGGTAAAGTTCATTACTTACTACTGGAGTGGAAAAGTGTGGAAGCATGGCTTTTCTCTGCTGGGGAATTCTGTAATTCTGATACAGTAGCATTCCATACTGCCAAAAGAAATGCAAGGACGTTATTAGTCAAAGATATACTCTAGGAAAAGAACTGCAGTGATTTTGTAACACCACTTACACTGGAGCAAAGTGCTGCCAGTTTATTATTTTCATGATCAGAAGCTGTCCCAAAGCAATTTGCATTAAGTAATGGTGATTGGCAGGTGGCAATCGAGCAGTAAATATGCACGACAAGTTTTATTTAAAAGACAGCACTGTTACAAGCCTGAGCGAAATACACAGGTGATTTCTGCCACTCTCAGCTATCCCCATGTTTTCCTTGCAGAATACAAGCTTTCACTTGAGGTCAGAACAAACATATTAACTCCCCCTCTTTCTACCCTCTAGTAATGTGAACTTAAAAAAAAATTCTGCCTAAGAAGTTCTGCACAAGACAATATAAAGATGAACTAGGTTTTCATAATGATATAAAATATGAACCTTTCTA